AAAAAAAAAGAGTAAAATTGCACTGTACCTATATAATATATAATATATAAAATAAATGTCTTAAAACTGTTATAATTTTAAAAATGTCTTATAAGTTAATGAAACGAAGAATTAATTTTAATATTTTTATTTGTTGCTTATTAAGTTACTAAAAAATTGTCAAAGAAAAAAATTTGTTGCTCTATAAGTCTTCTTAAAAAATAATGTTTCACTAAATGAAAATCAAGTTAGTGGAATATGAGGAGACTTCCAAAATTTCATTTTTTTAGTTAAATATGACATAGTGTTCAATGTTGAAAAACTCAAATTTTAAGCTATTTTTACTGATGTTCTGAAAGTATTTCTACATCATCAATTTCTACTACTAAAATACTACTGTATTTTTACACCATCAATTGAAAAAAATCTTGACATTCAGAATGCATTGTGTCCTTTAACTAAGGACAAACAAAAATGTGTTTAAACATTTTTAGCAACTGTTTAGGAGTTTTGTTGAACATTTCACATCTTACTGATTGTAAGATAATGCGCATATTGTTATTTTTTGTAAGATGCGCAATTTTCTTGTGGCTTTCTTTCTCGTTTTCTAAAAATTATGAATGTTGGACAAACGCATTTTGAAAATCCGTTCCTCATATGTGTATGACACATATGACACATATAACGAAATTGTACTTAACAATAACGTAAGAATTTATTATTTGTCGAAATATTCAAGTTTTGAATCTATTACTTGTGAAATAAATATAAATAACAATGAAAAATCTCTCTATTGCAAGAAATAACACGATTGCAAGAATAAAGTTTCAAGTAAAAATTTGCTACTTTAAATTTAGTATTGAGAGATTATTTGCAGGTCGTTTCTATTTGTTGCGTCCGGGTGCAGAGTATCCCTCATTCAAGAAATTCGAAATGACTGCTATCTTAATACAATTTAAATTGACTTCTTGATTAATCCACTTCGAATTGACCACACACATATGTACATATTGTTATATTGATAATCAAGGCTCGGTAAAATAACTGATGCGACTTATTTAAAATAAAAAATATAAAATAAGTTTCAGAAATTTATTTAAAATATAAAATCGTAGGAGTCGGTAAAATCACTGATACGACTTATTTGAAATAAAAAATATAAAATAGGTTCCAAAAACTTATTTAAAATATTAAATAAGAAATAGGATACAAGAATTTATTTAAAATATAAAATAAGAAAGAGAGTCCGAAAATACATTTATTTATTTAAAATATATTTCTCTCTCTGTTATCGATTTTGTTAAAACCACTACCCTGCATACAAAATCGGCTCAAATCATCTTGTGATTAGTCATGCCTGATTAGAGAGGTCTTTAATATTAATGTTTGTATTATTTTGAGATTATATATGTAATTGTCATGTTTTTACTGCATAAATTGTGATTGTAAAAAAATGAGTATATATAATTCTTACTTGCGATATATATTCAAACTATCACCTAAAATATTAATAAATATTAAGTAGATAAAGTTTTTTCGAATAGAGTTCCAAAAGGATGAACTCATCTATTTTGTTGTTGATATCGTATTTTGATGCTGATAACAAATATCATTCGTGGCGGCAGTATCGTGTATTACGTACCGCCCTTTCCTATAGAATATTATTTGTCTTAAAAATCTGATCCAAGTATCAAATGAAAGCAAATATCATGTATTATAAACTTAGAAACGCACGTCAATTTTAAAATTTTGCAAATAAACTTTTTTGGCCATTATTATCGATCATGAAAATGAGAGCATAAATTGAAAAAAAAGAACTACCTTCAAACTATCAAACTTCTGTATATCGGTCAATTTTTATCGAGCATAAATTAACAATACACCATTTTGTAGGAAATTTTATAGATTTTAATTTTTATCTGAGCTGTCTTTTATGTATACGTTGCAAAAGTTGAGATATTTGCAAAAAAAAAGTACCGCAAATCGTCTTTTCATGCCAAATGCCAAAATACAAGCATTCT